ACACCATTGTAATTAAATGAATTGTTTTCTTACATTATGGGACACAACACATCTTAGTTAAATCTAATTCCCATGAATTAACATTATTTAAAATGCATACAGTTGACTATGCAGTAAACATGGATTTCTTGGCAAGCACCACATCGTTAATAATAACTGGGTCCATTACCAACATGTCTTCTTTACTTAACTCTCCAGAAAAAACCTAAAGTGACGTGAATTTGGGATCTTTTACAATGTCAATGTCACTTAGAAATACAAGGTAAGCAGAACATCCTTGTAAAACTATAGCACACTACTTATTAGCCAATAGATGGTAAGAAATTATAATTCTAAATTAACATTTTGCAAATTTTGCAGTTTAGTTCACTCTGAATAGCATGTCAATGGGATATTTTTTTAATAAATTTCTAACATGGTATAGGATGGGATAACAACAATGTTCCCAATGTAATATTTAATATTTGGAGCCTATTTCAATGGATTATATATTATTGGCCTATGACATCTTTGCCTCTCTGAAGATTGATCTAGCACCAAAACACAGTGTAGAGTGAAAGGTTCATGGCTGGGATTGTTGATGTAAGGTTGAAGTAACGAGCAGTAAATGTGATTCATGATGTTGAGTACTGTGAAATGCAAAGTTATGATGACTTTTATCAGGTGGCAAAGAACTGTGACAGATGACAGAGCAAGAGAGAGAAGTTAATTTCAGCCATTTAAAGCAGAAGTAGTTATTTATATTATTGTTTCAGTTCATATTTTATAGTGATCAGTAAAGGGACTGGAGCAGAAAATAGTGATTAAGGCCATATATTAATCATAGTGATTGGTTTGAGAATATAAATTTGATCATTATCATGTCTGCTTGGAAAAATGGGAACACAACTGTAACAATCGAGTCATCGGGTTTATATACCTTATTGAATCACATTACCTATAGCTTGTAGTGATATAGCTGTGTATAGATTACCTATAGCTTGTAGTGATATAGCTGTGTATAGATTACCTATAGCTTGTAGTGATACAGTTGTGTATTGATTAGCTATAGCTTACAGTGATATAGCTGTGTATTGATTAGCTATAGCTTGTAGTTATACAGCTGTGTATAAATTAGCTATAGCTTGTTATATATCAGTGTATAGATTAGCTATAGCTTGTTATAGATCAGTGTATAGATTAGCTATAGCTTGTAGTTATATAGCTGTGTATAGATTAGCAATATCTTGTAGTTATATAGCTGTGTATAAATTAGCTATAGCTTGTAGTTATACAGCTGTGTATAGATTAGCTATAGCTTGGAGTTATATAGCTGTGTATAGATTAGCTATAGCTTGTTGTTATATAGCTGTGTACAGATAAGCTATAGCTTGTAGTTATATAGCTGTTTATAGATTAACCATAGCTTGCAGAGATATAGGTGTGAATTGATTAGCTATCGCTTGTAGCTGTGTATTGATTAGCTATAGTTTGCAGTGTAATAGCTGTGAGTAGATGAGCTATTGCATGCAGTGGTATAGCTGAGTGTTCATGAGCTATAGGTTGCAGTGATATAGCTTTGTGTGGATGAGCTATAGCTTGCAGTGGTATAGCTGTCAGTAAATAGGCAATAACTTACAGTGGTATAGCTGTGTGTAGATTAGCTATAGCTTGCAGTGGCAAATGTGTGTGTAGATGAGCTATATCTTGCAGTGGTATAGCTGTGAGTAGATGCACTGTAGGTTGCAGTGATAAAGCTGTGAGCAGATGAGCTATAGTTTGCAGTGGTCTAGCTGTGTGTGAATGAGCTATAGGTTGCAGTGATAAAGCTGTGCGTAAATGAACTATAGCTTGAGGTAGCTTCATGTAGATTAGATATAGGCTGAAGTGGTATAGCTGTGTATATGAGCTATAACATGCAGTGGTAAAGCTGTGTGTAGATGAGCTATAGCTTACAGTGGTATAGCTGTTTGTAGATTAGCTGTAGCTTGCAGTGGCATATGTGTGTGTAGATGAGCTATATCTTGCAGTGGTATAGCTGCACTGTAGGTTGCAGTGATATAGCTGTGTGTAGATGAGCTATATCTTACAGTGGTATAGCTGTGTGTAGATGAGCTATAGGCTGCAGTGGTATAGCTGTGATTTGGTTAGCTATAGCTTGCCGTTGTATAGCTGTGAGTAGATGAGCTATAGCTTGCAATTGTATAGCTGTGAGTAGTTGAGCTACTGCATGCAGTAGATTAGCTGGGCATTCTTGAGCTACATCTCGCAGTGGTATAGCTGTATATAGATGAACTATAGATTGCAGTGGTATAGCTGTAAGTAGATGAGCAATAGCTATCAGCTGCATAGCTATGTGTAGATTAGTTATAGGTTGCAGTGATATAGCTTTGTGTGGATTAGCTATAGGTTGCTGTAATATAGCTGTGTGTGGATGAGCTGTAGGTTGCAATGGTTTAGCTTTAGGTACTTGAGCAATAGGTTGTAGTGATATAGCAGCATAGGTGGGAAGAGATGAGATGTAGGTTGCAGTGCTATAGCTTGCAGTAGATAAGCTATAGCTTGCAGTGGTATAGCTGTGAATTGATTAGCTATAGCTTGCAGTGCTATAGTTGTGTATAGATGATTTATAGTTTGCGGTGGTATAGCTTTTAGTTGAAGAGCTATAGGTTGCAGTGGTATAGCTGTGACTAGATGAGCTATTGTATACAATGATATATCTGGGTGTAGAATAGCTGTAGGTTGCAGTGATATAGCTGCATGTGAATGAGCTATAGCTTGAGATAGCTTCATGTAGATGAGATATAAGCTGCAGTGATATAACTGTGTGTAAATGAGCTTTAGCGTGCAGTGGTACTGCTGTGTGTGGATGAGCTATAGCTTGCAGCACCATAGCTGGGAAGAGATGAACTGTAGGTTGCAGTGGTAAAGCTGTGCGTAAATGAACTATAGCTTGAGGTAGCTTCATGTAGATTAGATATAGGCTGAAGTGGTATAGCTGTGTATATGAGCTATAACATGCAGTGGTAAAGCTGTGTGTAGATGAGCTATAGCTTACAGTGGTATAGCTGTTTGTAGATTAGCTGTAGCTTGCAGTGGCATATGTGTGTGTAGATGAGCTATATCTTGCAGTGGTATAGCTGCACTGTAGGTTGCAGTGATATAGCTGTGTGTAGATGAGCTATATCTTACAGTGGTATAGCTGTGTGTAGATGAGCTATAGGCTGCAGTGGTATAGCTGTGATTTGGTTAGCTATAGCTTGCCGTTGTATAGCTGTGAGTAGATGAGCTATAGCTTGCAATTGTATAGCTGTGAGTAGTTGAGCTACTGCATGCAGTAGATTAGCTGGGCATTCTTGAGCTACATCTCGCAGTGGTATAGCTGTATATAGATGAACTATAGATTGCAGTGGTATAGCTGTAAGTAGATGAGCAATAGCTATCAGCTGCATAGCTATGTGTAGATTAGTTATAGGTTGCAGTGATATAGCTTTGTGTGGATTAGCTATAGGTTGCTGTAATATAGCTGTGTGTGGATGAGCTGTAGGTTGCAATGGTTTAGCTTTAGGTACTTGAGCAATAGGTTGTAGTGATATAGCAGCATAGGTGGGAAGAGATGAGATGTAGGTTGCAGTGCTATAGCTTGCAGTAGATAAGCTATAGCTTGCAGTGGTATAGCTGTGAATTGATTAGCTATAGCTTGCAGTGCTATAGTTGTGTATAGATGATTTATAGTTTGCGGTGGTATAGCTTTTAGTTGAAGAGCTATAGGTTGCAGTGGTATAGCTGTGACTAGATGAGCTATTGTATACAATGATATATCTGGGTGTAGAATAGCTGTAGGTTGCAGTGATATAGCTGCATGTGAATGAGCTATAGCTTGAGATAGCTTCATGTAGATGAGATATAAGCTGCAGTGATATAACTGTGTGTAAATGAGCTTTAGCGTGCAGTGGTACTGCTGTGTGTGGATGAGCTATAGCTTGCAGCACCATAGCTGGGAAGAGATGAACTGTAGGTTGCAGTGGTAAAGCTGTGAGTAGATGAGCTATATCTTACAGTGGTATAGCTGTTTGTAGATTAGCTATAGCTTGCAGTGGCATATGTGTGTGTAGATGAGCTATATCTTGCAGTGGTATAGCTGTGAGTAGATGCAGTATAGGTTGCAGTGATATAGCTGTGTGTAGATGAGCTATATCTTACAGTGGTATAGCTGTGTGTAGATTAGCTATAGGCCGCAGTGGTATAGCTGTGAATTGGTTAGCTATAGCTTGCCGTTGTATAGTTGTGAGTAGATGAGCTATGAGATGTAGGTTGCAGTGCTTTAGCTGCCAGTAGATAAGCTATAGCTTGCAGTGGTATAGCTGTGAATTGATTAGCTATAGCTTGCAGTGCTATAGTTGTGTATGGATGATTTATAGTTTGCGGTGGTATAGCTTTTAGTTGAAGAGCTATAGGTTGCAGTGGTATAGCTGGGACTAGATGAGCTATTGTATACAATGATATATCTGGGTGTAGAATATCTGCAGGTTGCAGTGGTATAGCTTTATGTAGATGAGCTATAGGTTGCAGTGATATAGCTGCATGTGAATGAGCTATAGCTTGAGATAGCTTCATGTAGATGAGATATAAGCTGTAGTGATATAACTGTGTGTAAATGAGCTTTAGCTTGCAGTGGTACTGCTGTGTGTGGATGAGCTATAGCTTGCAGCACCATAGCTGGGAAGAGATGAACTGTAGGTTGCAGTGGTAAAGCTGTGTGTAGATGAGCTATATCTTACAGTGGTATAGCTGTGAGTAAATTAGCTATAGCTTGCAATTGTATAGCTGTGAGTAGTTGAGCTACTGCATGCAAGAGATAGCTGGGCATTCCTGAGCTACATCTTGCAGTGGTATAGCTGTATATAGATGAACTATAGATTGCAGTGGTATAGCTGTAAGTAGATGAGCAATAGCTATCAGCTGCATAGCTGTGTGTAGATTAGTTATAGGTTGCAATGATATAGCGTTGTGTGGATTAGCTATAGGTTGCTGTAATATAACTTTGTGTGGATGAGCTGTAGGTTGCCATGGTTTAGCTTTAGGTACTTGAGCAATAGGTTGTAGTGATATAGCAGCATAGGTGGGAAGAGATGAGATGTAGGTTGCAGTGCTATAGCTGCCAGTAGATAAGCTATAGCTTGCAGTGGTATAGCTGTGAATTGATTAGCTATAGCTTGCAGTGCTATAGTTGTGTATAGATAATTTATAGTTTGCGGTGGTATAGCTTTTAGTTGAAGAACTATAGGTTGCAGTGGTATAGCTTTATGTAGATGAGCTATAGGTTGCAGTGATATAGCTGTGTGTAAATGAGCTATAGCTTGCCATAGTATAGCTGTGTGTAGATTAGCTATAGCTTGCAGTGGCATAGTTGTGAGTAGATGAGCTGTAGGTTGCAGTGGTATAGCTGTGTGTGGATGAGCTGTAGCTTGCAGTGGTATAGTTGTGAGTAGATGAACAGTAGGTTGCCATGCTATAGCTTTATGTAGATGAGCTATAGGCTGCAGTGATATAGCTGTGTGTGGATGAGCTATAGCTTGCAGCATCATAGCTAGGAAGAGATGAGCTGCAGGTTGCAGTGGTATAGCTGTGAGTAGATGAGCTATTGCATACAATGATATATCTTGGTGTAGATGAGCTTTAGGTTGCAGTGGTATAGCTGTGTGTAGATTAGCTAAAGCTTGCAGTGGTTTAGCTTTATGTAGATGGGTTAAAGGTTGCAGTGGTATAGGTGTGTGTGGATGCAGTGATATAGCTGTGTGTGAATGAGCTATAGTTTGCAGTAGTATAGTTGCGAGTAGATGAGCTGGATGTGGATTAGCTATAGCTTGCTGTGGTATAGCTTTATGTAGATGAGCTGTAGGTTGCAGTGGTATAGCTGTGTGTAAATGAGCTATAGCTTGCCATAGTATAGCTGTGTGTAGATTAGCTATAGCTTGCAGTGGTATAGTTGTGAGTAGATGAGCTGTAGGTTGCAGTGGTATAGCTGTGTGTGAATGAGCTATAGTTTGCAGTAGTATAGTTGCGAGTAGATGAGCTGGATGTGGATTAGCTATAGCTTGCCGTGGTATAGCTTTATGTAGATGAGCTGTAGGTTGCAGTGGTATAACTGTGTGTGGATGGTATAGTTGTGAGTAGATAAGCTGTAGGTTGCCATGATATAGCTTTATGTAGATGAGCTATAAGTTGAAGTGATATAGATGTGTGTGGATGAGCTATAGCTTTCAGCATCATAGCTAGGAAGAGATGAGCTGCAGGTTGCAGTGGTATAGCTGTGAGTAGATGCGCTATAGAGTTATATAGCTGTGAGGAGGTTAGCTATTGCTTGCAGTGCTATAGTTGTATGTAGATTAACTATAGCTTGCAGTGATATAGCTGTGAGGAGGTTTGTTTACCTTGTAGTGATACAGTTGGGTGTAGATGAGCTAAAGCTTGTAATACAGAGTGCTATGTTCCGGTAAGCTTCAGTTCATAGAGCTGTGTACAAATGAGCTATAGCTTGCACTGAAAGCACTGTCTGTAGAACAGATATTGCCTTCAGTGGTATAGCTATGTGTAGATCAGCTATAGCTCGTAGTGATAAAGATGTGTGTAGATTAGCTATATGTGCAGTGATATGGTTATATAGAGATGAGCCATTGCATCTAATGACAAAGCTGTATGTGGATGGGCCTTTAGCTTTTGTTGTTGTACTGTGTAGTAGTAAAAGACTGGTTGCATGAATAACAGTAGTAGTATAGCGCAGCATGATTCAAAAACAGTGCAGATTTATCATAGGTATGACTGTGAGCTGTATGGTGGATTATTGAACATGAGAGGGAGAGAATAGTGTGTGTAGTAGCATTGGAAATATATAGAAATTTTTGATTCATAACAGAAATGGTATACATTGTATAAAACACATTGTGGTGTGCTTCATAGAGCAGCGCTGTAATATAATAAAAGAGAAATAAATATTCCTTAAAGGAACAGCATGGGATTTACATGACAGCATGGTAGGGAACTGAATGATCTGTGTGTGATATATAAATATAAATATTCCTAGGAATGCTCATTGGAATAGAGAATAAGGAGCAGTATGAGGTGCAATGTCCTCTCTGCTACTTAGAGGAATAGCATAACAATCAGTGTAATAGTGCTTTGAACACGCTGTGCATGGTATTTGCAGAGTTCTTGATATAGGACAAGATGCTCTGTGTAGCCTTATGGGCATGTTAGTGGTAAACTTAAAGGGACACTCCAGGCACCCAGACCACTTCTGCCCATTGGAGTGGTCTGGGTGCCAACTCCCACTACTCTTAACCCTGCAAGTGTAATTATTGTAGTTTTTTTTATAAACTCCAATAATTACCTTGCAGGGTTAACTCCACCTCTAGTGGCTGTCTAGACAGCCACTAGAGGGCATTTCCTGGTTTCTAGCACAGGAAACCTGTGCTAGAGCGTCGCTGGACGTCCTCACACTGTGTGAGGACCTCCAGCGTCGCTCATTTCCCCATAGGAAAGCACTGAAATGCATTTTCAATGCTTTCCTATGGGGAGCACTAATGTGCCGTGCATGCGCATTAGGTCTCCCCGGCCGGTGGGCGGGATCAGTCTCGCCCACCTGCGGACGCAATCTGAGGGAGGAGCGGCGCGGAGGAAGAAGCAGCAACGTGGGACATCATCGCTACCTCAGGTAAGTTACTGAAGGGGTTTTCACCCCTTCAGCAACCGGGGATTGGGGGGTGGGAGGGAGAGGGGGCCTGCAGTGCCAGGAAAACAGATTGTTTTCCTGGTACTGGAGCTTCCCTTTAAGCATAAGCACAATAGCAAGAGGGTATAGTGAAAAAATAGCGTGTTTAGACTGACCATGATTATATTCTAGCAAACAGCATGGCAATGCTTTGTACGAGCCACATGCATGATAGCTCCAACAAGAGCAAGGCATGCAGATCATGTGCATCAGGAAAACCAAGAAGGTTACTGGTTTACATAGGGCTGGATTCTCTTAGTAGAGCAAGGGTTAAATCTGCTTACTAAATAGCAATTTCTCAGTTCATTTCCATGGGAAAATAGCTATTCAGTACGCAAGGTAAACCCTTTTTCTGCTAAAAGAATCTAATCCATTTTAATTCTATTACAAAGGTTGCCAGCTCATTGTTCCTTGGTGCCCAAAACAAGCTATAATTTTGGTGCCTTTTATTTTGTAAACTTTTTTTATTTTTATCTATGTGTTTGTCATGGTTACTTGGTACAAGAGTGTGGAATTCAGTGAGCAAGGTATAGACAAAGCTGTCAGCAAGGTCACTTTTAAGCATTAAATTCACAGAAAGACTGTGCATTCGATTATAAAGCGCATGTGCAGTGAGACAAGAGAAATTAAAATATAAAAGTATCTTATAACATATTGCAATGTGCCTATGGCCAGGGATTATTCCAGAGAAATCAACAGAGTACAATATGGTATGTAGGGAAATAGTAACTAAGTATATGCTGCAGGACAATATGAACCTGAAAAAAACAGGTGCTTTGTGTGTGTGCTTGTATACAAGCCACCAATGTTTTATACTAGGAAGAAAGGCATTTTTTTGTCATTTCTACATATAATGTACTTGTGATAATGTCATGCATAGTGGATAGTTACGGTTATATGCTTTATTTAGGCAGTATGTACGTGTTACAGGATCAGATTTTGATCTTCGGTTACGTAGCTTTCTCCTAATCTTTGGCCTCTGATTCCAATTTCCGGTTAAATGTAGGACGCAACATGTTTTGTCCATTAGTATCTATTTAAATCTATGGCAACCACATTAACATTTTCAGGTATCTTTGCAGTGTTCCTTACGCTTCCTTCACTTGTGCATAACCACAGGAGTTTTATAATTAAGCGATAAGAAAAACAGTTCCCTGGCATTTTTAATATTAATCTGCATTCAGTTGTAAATGTCCATTGTGGTGAGTGATGTCAAAATTTTGGTAGCATCAGTAAACAACCATATGATTTTCATAAAATCATCACTTGTGGTTAGCGTGATGCAATGCATTGACCTAGAATTCTGGCCCAGAGTATAGTTGCTGTTTATAAACATAAAGATCTCTCTGGTACAAACATGGCTCTCCTAAGAAAATTGGTATACAGTGTGTGCCTGCATATATATAATAGAACTGCTGAAAAAAAGAAATATATATATATATAATATGCATTATTGAAAATAAGGGATGTTTTCACAAATAGAGGGAAATGACAGGGTAGATGGGATTGTTAAGGCTGTATTGGTGAATGGATTTGTGTGGGTTCAGACAGGTGAATTGATAGATGTGTTTTTTGAGGAACACTAACAATCCAATGTAATCGTTCCAGTAATAATAAGACAAAGCTATAATGACTATGGCATGAGTGTGCTCTTAGCTAAGTAATTATATGGGTGGTACATTTCAAATAGTTTATGCGTCTGAACAATTAACTTCAGTGCAAGATCCAAAAACGCAGTTTTCCCAAGATGTTAAAAAAAAATTATTTAGTGCTTGATGCACCATTATTGTGCATAGATAAAAAGCAATTAGTAAATAAAATAAGGGTTGTTCACATTTCATAAAATTTAGCTGAGAGGAAATATGAATAGAGGATATGATAGAGTGATGGCCATTCCAACACTGTGAACAATTCTAAACTACTGTATGTAGACATTTGCTAAATATGTAAAGTTTCTTAAATTAACAAAGATTTTTTGTTTCAAAATGGTGTGCATGTTTATTAAGCAGTTAAAGTGGCTCTGTTACCTTTGGGGGGTTTTGCATATTTTGCAAAGGCTCTCAATAGTGACATCTCAGCTTGGGGTATGTTGAGCCAGGGATGCAGCAGAATGAAGTTATACTTACGTGAAGTTGTTTGCTGTTGGTTCTTTCAACTTCTTTCTTCAGCTCTGGACACATCATCTGCCAGGGGCCATGTGCATGTGCGAGAGTACAACACTGATGTCCATGGAGGATATTGATGTCCACTGAGGTCCATAGAGCATTTCAGAATGTTTTTACCTTTATGAAATTACCATCAATACATTTTTGGTGACAAAGCCATATTAAAAACACTAACATTTTAAATAGATGCTAGAAGTTGCAATAATAGTCCATCGCTGGTATTCATTCACTAACTGAAAAATTTATAGCGTGCTCCTTTTGACAATATACAAAAATGAAACCCATTGGAAGGTGAACAGACTCTATTCTATGGAATATATATACAGCATTAAAGTTAACTCTACACTAGGCAACTGATTTCTTTGTTTTTGATGAAGCATCTGATACATTTTGTAATTTATTATAAATATATGTAAAACAAACTGAACTGTTTTTATAAAAGAAACAAATTCCATTGTTTGAATTTCACTTTTTACAATTCCTCTATTGGTGTTGAACTTATATCATACCTATACAGTACATTAAAAATTTATTTATTTTCTAATACACAGCCGAAAAGACAGCTCCATCTGTCTTCCCATTGAGACCCTGCTGTGGATCTGAGTCCTCTGGAACACATGTATCTATTGGGTGTTTGGTCAGTGACTATTTT